CTAGTTTTTCCTTCATTATCACTTTCTTCTTACTGAAGTGGTTCGAATATTATTTTAGAATCTCCCTCTTTCTCCTTCTCCCCCTCTCCCCATCTCTTTCTCCTTTTCCTTCCTCCTCTCACCCATTCTCTTTCTTTCTTTAACTTTCTATTTACTGGCAGCAGTATTATCATCATAACCAATATCATATAATATATATTTTTTTTCACTATAACTGCAATTACATTTTTCTTTTTTTTATTATCATGAATCTAATTATCTTTACCATCATGATTAGTATTAGTAGTGTATGTGTGTTGATGAGAGACACTGACATAAGACATAAATTCACCCAATACATGTAGCATAACCTACATAAGCACTATGCAAATAAAACTTAATTTCACACTTATTGTATGTCTCTGTGATATAGCGGGTAGGACAGTCGCCTTTAAAGCGACAGACTCGGGTTCGATTCCCGACGGAGACTACAATATCCGTTTTACTTTAAATTTAAGTAAATATTTCCATTTTTCTGTCTGGTTGCTTATCTGCCTCTATTCTCTTACCTTACAGTTATTATCTATCAATTATTTTCTTTTATATATATATATATATATATATATATATATTCATTTTGGTTTGTTTTGCTGATCTGTTTACGCTCATCTGTGTGTGAAAGAGAGAAAGAAAGACTGAAAGAGAGAGAGAGAGAACGAAAGAGAGAAAGAGAGATAGTTATTAACCAATATATCCCACTTTTTTCTATCTTCATCGATTTTCTTAAATTTCATAACTATTAGTAATATTAATGATTTTTTTTTTTCACAATACTTTCCCATAACCGAATGCGACGATTTTGGCACCCATGGATCTCTCTCATCCTCTCGTACACATATATACGTAGAAATGACGCCACGGAACACCCCCATCATACCCCATTCTATGCCCCAATATTCGGAGAGGGCATTCAGGGTACCAGGGAAAGTGCGGGTGAAATGGGCATGAAATGCACGGAATCAGTCGCTATGTTCTCTCATGCAGGTGAGGTCAGGTTCTGATCGGTTCCTTGGGGGGCTGACCGTATAATAGCATCAGAATATTTGTATTTATTTCTATTATTTTCCAGTTTCTACCATTTATAACCCACGGCAGACATAAATAATTCTAAGAGGATACACACTGTATTGCTACAGCAATAATAATTACATTATTTGAGAACAATATTAATTAGATCATTAAAGCATAGAAATAGATTGCATAAACTACAATGAGAGAGAGAAAGAGAGAGAACGAGAGAAGAGAGAGAGAGAGAGAGAGAGAACAAACACATGAATTCACATATAGGACATGTAGAGTAACCTTAAAAATTATTCAATTATAATACATCTCAATTGCATATGTATATCCATCTTAACTTATTTATATGTCTCCGTGGTGTAGTGGTTAGCACGGTCGCCTTTAAAGCGACAGACTCGGGTTCGATTCCAGACGGAAACCCACAAATAACTTTTAAGCACGAATTTGTTTTATTCTAAATTTCCTACACACTCATCAACATCCATCTTTTGGGCTTATCTGCCATTATCCTCTTGCAATTGGCCTCGAAAGTATTCATCCACAAAAAAATTTTTTTTCGAAAAATCCTTCCTTTCTCTCCTCCTTCCCCCCCCCCTTTCTCCTCTCTCTTCTTCCTTCGCCAACACACTATCTCTCGATATTTCTGTAACCCCCCCCCCCTTCTCTCTCCCTCTCCTCCTTTTTCTCCTTTTCCTCCTCTCACACTTTTATCACCATTATTGTAATTACATTTTTTTAATTATCATGAATGTAATTTTTACCATCATTATTAGTATTGGTAGTGACTGTGTGTGTGTGTGTGTGTGTGTGTGTGTGTGTGTGTGTGTGTGTGTGTGTGGCATACATACATACATATAAGGTGAATTGCAAAACAAAAACATACACGAATAGACATGCACATAGACCACTCAATTTCGCTCTCACTAGTTCTCCTTGTGCATTAGACAGCAAATTTGAATGCGTTTAATCCTACAAAATCTAGTCATTCTTATATACATTAAAGTTTTATCACAATTGCTCTTCTGCGTCCATTTGTAGCCACAGAACAATTTACTTTTAGAAAAGGAATGTATAGAGGTGAGAGCCAAGAAGAGAGTGGACATGGCGAGGTTGATAATTTTATCTAAATCGATGGGACTGAATTATGACTGTGATTAAAGGCCTATGATAACACATCGCATTAGAATATTATTTTTATTTTTATAATCTTTAATTTTAATAACTTTTAACGTATGGTAACAGAGATAATTCTAAGAATGTACACACCGTATTGCCACAATGGTAATAAAATACATTATTTGGAATTATATTTATTAGATTAGTAAAACATAAAAATAGGTTGCATAGACATTGAGAGAGAGAGAGAGAGAGACAGACAGACAGAGACATAAAATATAAACACTATGCATATCTAATAAAACTAATTTCGTATTGGATTTATGTGTTCGTAGTGCAGTGGTTAGCACGCTTGTCTTTTAAACGACAGACTCGGGTTCGATCCCCGACGGAGACCACTTCCATCGCTGTTTTATGAATTTGTTTCAATATCTAAATTTGCTTACACACTCACAAGCATTCTTTTGGTTGCTTATCTGCCATTATCCTTACTTGAAAAGTGCATTTATATGTTATTTATTTGAAGGTGCTTTAACTAATATAATTATTATTTCTGGCAGAAGTATTATTACTATTATGTCATAATAATCATCATTATCATTACTTTCACTATTTATAACTTCCATTATTATCATTACCTTAATTATGCTTTCATAACCACTGTTGGCAGTTGTACCACCATCATCATTACTCTTCTTATTCTAGTTTTTATCTTCTTCAACCATTTCTNCTGTACTTATTGAAGGAAAAACTACAGTAAGCAACAAGGAAACGGCTTGATTAACGTTGACAACATGTAAAATAGTGACAGGCAAGTATTCCATACCAGTACCGATGTGGAATCATCCTGAACAAATGTAAAATTTCAGTATTGTTTTTCCGCGTCGTCATGAGGGCAATTTAGAGACAGTCCTTGCGAGGGCGGGGCACCCAGGCCCTGATTTTATCATTATTGGGTATTTTAAAGGAGCCAAGAACAAGTGGGTATGGCGAGGATGATAATATTGTCTAAATCGATGGACTGAAGTATGACTGTGATTATAGGCGTATAATAACATATCACATTAAATTCGTACTTATGGAAGAAAAAGCTACAAGGAGAAAACGGCTTAATCAACGTTTGACACCATGTAAGATAGTGTCAGGCAAGGATTCCATACCATTGCCGATGCGGAGTTATCTTGAACAAATGTAAAATTCCAGTATTGCTTTCCGCGTCTCATGAGGGCAATTTAGAGACCGTCTTGATTTCCAGACAGATAATTATAAGAATGTCAACTCCGTATTGCTACAATGATAATAAAATGCATTATTTAAGACCTATGTTATTAAATTATTGAGCATAAAGAATACATTGCATAGACTAACATTGAGAAAGAGAGAAACAGAGAAAAAGAAAGAGAAAGAGAGAGAGAACATAGAACACATGAATTCCCTCATAACACATGTGTAGCATAACCTTCATAAATACTGTGCAAATTTAGTGAAACTACATTTCTAAATTGAATTATGAATCCCTGGTGCAGTGGCTAGCACGGTGGCGCCTTTGAAGCGACAGACGCGGGTTCGATCCCCGACGGAGACCAGATATAAAACTTTTTATGGCAGGAATTTGTTTAATATCTAAATTTTGCTTACACGCTCATCAAGCATTTCCATCCTTCTTTCTGGTTTGCTTATCTGCCTTTATCCTCTTGCTTGAAAATGCATATATATATTTTTGTTTTGTTTTGGTCTGTTTACGTTTATATGTGTATGTTAAAAAAGGAGAAAGGGAGAGAGTTCAAAAGCAAATTGGCCACGAAAAATATTCATCCCACTAATTTGAATTACGAAAAAATGAATTCTTTTCTCTCCCTCTCTACCCCCCTTTTCTCTCATCATCCCTTCCTAACACACTATCTCACTTTCTATATCTCAGTGACCCTCCTCTCCCTCTCTCTTTCTCCCTTTTCCTTCTTACTCTCACTCATTCTCTTTCTTTCTTTAACGGCAATGGTTATTTTTACTGGCAGCAGTATTATCATCATAACCAATATCATGTAATCATTTTTTTCACCATTATTTTAATTACAATTATTTATTATCATGAATGTAATTACCTTTCCCATTATTTTAGTATTAGTAGTGTGTGTGTTGATGAGAGACAGACATAAAGACACATGAACTTGAGACACAAAGACATAATTCACCCAATACATGTAGCATAACCTTACATAAGCACTATGCAAAGCAAATAAAACTTAATTTCACACTTATTGTATGTCTCTGTGATATAGCGGGTAGGACAGTCGCCTTTAAAGCGACAGACTCGGGTTCGATTCCCGACGGAGACTAGATCTTCACATTTTTACTTCTATGCACGAATTCGTTTACTCTAAATTTGCATAAATCAATATTTCCGTTTTTCTTTCTGGTTGCTTATCTGCCTCTATTCTCTTACTTTACAGTTATTATTTATCTATTATTTTCTTTTATATATATATTTTTTTATTTTGGTTAGTTTTGCTGATCTGTTTACGCTCATATGTGTGTGTGCGTGTAAAGAAAGAAAGAAAAGAGAGAGAGAGAGAGAGAGAGAGAGAGAGAGAGAGAGAGAGAGAGAGAGAGAGAGAGAGAGAGAGAGAGAGAGAGAGAGATAGAGACAGTTATTTACCAATATATCCCACCTGTTTTTCTGTCTTTATCGATTTCTTAACACTATGCAAAGCTAATAAAATTAAATTTCATTATGATGTATATGTCCGTAGTGCAGTGGTTAGCACGGTCGCCTTTAAAGCGACAGACTCGGGATCCCCGACGGAGACCAGGCTGTCCGTGGTTTTATGAATTTGTTTTGATATTATATCTCTTACACACACATTCTTTTGGTTGCTTATCTGCCATTATCCTCTTACTTGAAAGTAAATTTATATGTTATTTATTTATTTATATCTATTTATGCCGCAGATGAAATGTCGGCAGGAGGAGAGAGAGAGAGAGAGAGAGAGAGAGAGAGAGAGAGAGAGAGAGAGAGAGAGAGAGAGAGAGAGAGAGAGAGAGAGAGAGAGAGAAGAGAGAGAGAGAGAGAGAGAGAGAGAGAGAGAGACACCAAAATAAGACAAGTGCACCTCCTACCTTCCAAAGATCAGAAGCAAAGGAATGCATCAGTTCCAGCCCCACCTGGAGGAAGTAGTCACTACAAGTCTTCGAGGAGTTGAAGGAAAACAAAGAATTCTTTCAACCAGAATTTAGTATTTGGGAAATCAAAATCAAAAATATTCACGATAGACAATAGACATGAACATGACGCATGAGAGTCAGGTATTTCCGCCAACAATTTTTTTTCTTTTGCAGACGTCACAATATCTGCGGGAAATTTGGGAAAAAAATCAGGATTTTCATATTTTATAACTTTCCTCGAAATAAAAGTCGGCGGGCCCGCAATTCAAGAAAAAAAATTGCTGTGGCCTTATTAGTATTAGTAGTGAGTGTGTGTGTGGGTGTCTGTGTGTGCGTGCGTGTGTGTGTTTGTTTGTGTGTGAGTTCAATTGCAAAACATTTTTCTTTTCCTTGCCCACTAGATATTCATCAAATATTTTATACATTCATAGCAAATTTGAATAAGTTTAATCCTAAATTATCATGTCAAAATCGTTTGTCTTGTCTGCGTGAATTTGTATCCACAGAACAATTCACTTTTAGAAAAGAATTTGTTAAAGGTGAGAGAAGGACGGATGCAGCGTCAGTTGTGAAGGCGCGGGGGCCATTTGTACTTATTGAAGAAAAAACTACAGTAAGCAACAAGGAAACGGCTTGATTAACGTTTGACAACATGTAAAATAGTGACAGGCAAGTATTCCATACCAGTACCGATGTGGAATCATCCTGAACAAATGTAAAATTTCAGTATTGTTTTCCGCGTCTCATGAGGGCAATTTAGAGACAGTCCTTGCGAGGGCGGGGCACCCAGGCCCTGATTTTATTTATTGGGTATTTTAAAGGAGCCAAGAACAGAGTGGATATGGCGAGGTTGATAATTTTATCTAAATCGATGGGAATGAAGTACGAGTGTGATTATAGGCGTATTATAACACATCACATTAGAATATTTATGTTTTATTTTATTATTTTCCAGTTTCTACGATTTTTAACCCACGGCAGACATAAATAATTCTAAGAATATACACACTGTATTGATACAACGATAATAAATTTATTATTTAAGAACTATATTAATTAGACCATTAAAGCATAAAACTAGATTGCATAGACTACATTGAGAGAGAGAAAGAGACAGAGAGAGTAAGAGAGAGAGAAAAAGAGAGTAACCTTCATAATCATTATACATCTATTATACTTCTAAATCACTATTAAACATGTCTCCGTGGTGCAGTGGTAAGCATGGTTGACTTTAAATTGACAGACTCGGGTTCGATTCCAGACGGAAACCATAAATTGTTTTTAAGCACACTCATCAACATTATCTCTTTTTGGTTGCTTATCTGCCATTATCCTCTTGCAAATTGGCCACGAAAAGTATTCATCCCACAAAAAATTGAATTTCGAAAAATGGCTCCTTCCCCCCCCCTTTCTCCTCTCTCTTCTTCCTTCTTCCCCCCCTCTCTCTCTCCTCTCCCATCTCTTTCTCCTTTTCCCCTCCTCTCACACTTTTATCACCATTATTGTAATTACAATTGTTTATTATCATGAATGTAATTTTTACCATCATTATTAGTATTGGTAGTGACTGTGTGTGTGTGTGTGTGTGTGTGTGTGTGTGTGGTGTGTGTGTGTGTGGTGTGCATACATACATACATATAAGGTGAATTGCAAAACAAATACACGAATAGACATGCACATAGACCACTCAATTTCGCTCTCACTAGTTCTCCTTGTGCATTAGACAGCAAATTTGAATGCGTTTAATCCTACAAAATCTAGTCATTCTTATATACATTAAAGTTTTATCACAATCGCTCTTCTGCGTCCATTTGTAGCCACAGAACAATTTACTTTTAGAAAAGGAATGTATAGAGGTGAGAGCCAAGAAGAGAGTGGACATGGCGAGGTTGATAATTTTATCTAATCGATGGGACTGAAGTATGACTGTGATTATAGGCCTATGATAACACATCGCATTAAATATTTTTATTTTTATCATTTTCCAATTTTTAATACTTTTAACGTATGGTAAACAGAGATAATTCTAAAAATGTACACACCGTATTGCTACAATGGTAATAAAATGCATTATTTAAGAATTATATTTATTAGATCAGTAAAACATGAAAATAGATTGCATAGACAACAGAGAGAGAGAGAGAGAGAGAGAGAGAGAGAGAGAGAGAGAAAGGAGAGAAGAAAAGAGAGGAGAGAGAGAGAGAGAGAGAGAGAGAGAGAGAGAGAGAGAGAGAG